GCAAGTCTACCTGGAGTCTAGACACATGCATAAGTCTGGATTTTCCATAAAACCTTAGGGTAAATGGCAAAATTGTAAAAAAAAGAAAAAAAGGAAAAAGAATTAAAGCTTATAAATTGATTGGAAATGAACCTCCACTTATGTCATTTGACAGGATGAGAGTGCCTACAAAGTAAGCACCATTTCTTTTAGTCTCTGTATATAAACCCAGAAACATCTGTTCTGATTTAGGATTTCTGATAAAGAATTAAGCATTTAATTAGGAGTTAATATTTTATTAGAAAAAATGGATCTTGTGTTGCACAATACAAAACTTTTAAGTGTTGATAGTGATGGTATTACAGCAAGTTTGAAGTGCTATGGAATACATTATTTAAAACTGTCGGAACCCAGGCGCCTTAAAGAGCCAGACTCAAGAGTATGTCCAAAAGTAGAGTTTATTTAAACAAAGCAAAAACGACTCAGAGACACTTAACTCAGTGTCTCTGGTCAAAACTCAAAAGTAGCAACTAGTTCTAGTTCAAAAGGTAAACTGAAGCAATAATCCGGATTATCCCGAGAAAAGATCTGGATTAAAACAAAGCGTTCCAAAAGTCACAAAATAGCACAGCAAGTAAACAAAGAGCTGCAAGGAAGGAGACGTAGTCAAACGAAGTCCGAGGTCATAGTAAGCCAAGTCCAAAGTTGCGAGGTTCCAAAATCCACGTAGGCAGCATCATAGTCAAAACCGGTCCAAAGTCAAAGAAGGGGAAATCCGCACTCATGAGAATCCAAGCCAAGTCAAAACACACGAACTGAAGCAGCAACCTGCAGATCCAGGACCCAATACCAACACGAAATAGGCAGCGATAAAACCCAAGGCACGAAACCAACACTTTGCCTTCTGCAAAGATTCTACATTTCAAAGCCTTCATTTACCTTACACCTCATCATCCGAAGATGAGCTGACCTCCGCCCCGTCATCATCTCTTACAGCTGTCCTTGACTCCACACGTGAACACTGATGCCCATCCCTCCAACTCCTCCATCTTCTTCAAGACTTAGATCCCCCCAAGACTCAGAAGTATCTCCTGACTGCTAATCCCCACCACTAGAAAACCCCACAAACGTGTCACTAGACGTTGGCTCTGCACATACATCTTGTACCTCTTGTACCTTAGTCCAGTCCAGTGTGTCATCCTCACTTTCATCACTCTCTAACCCATCACTATCAGAGAACCCTGCAAATGCCTGTTCATCTGTGGGAGCAGTAAGTATATCCCGGATCTTCTTCCTTTGTCGCTCCTCATCCGATTCTTGCTCCCGAGTAACCATCTTAGTTCCCCTATTCACATCCACTGTATCTCCTTCCTCTCCCTCACTCACTGACCCTTCGTTATCAGAGAACCCTTCGAACGAGTCTTCATCTGTGGGAGCAGTAAGTATATCCCAGATCCTTTTCCTTTGTTGTTCCTCATCCAACTCTTGCTCACGAGCACTCCTTTTCCCCCTTCTGACACCCATACTACCACTTGCAACGTTACTCACAGGCTCTACTACAACAAAAATGCTATGAAAATGGCAGTACTTATATCTTAGAGCTAGATATACTCATATCTTAGAAACGTATACAACTGTACTATTTAATAGGTAATCTTCCTTACCTTGATTGTCTTTAGATTTTTGGACTCCCATCATTCCCAACTAGCATGGCCTATATACTACAATGTTGACCAACAAGCCAAAAAGGAATGGCTTGTAAGAAAATGCTGGCTCAGAATACCAAAGTAACACAGGGAGGCCTGAAGCATAGAGCTTCATTAAGTGATTCAGCATAATCAATAGAAGGTAGCAGTATGGCCTATTAAAAATGCTGGATATAAGATTACAACAAAGACAATACAAGATTTGCCACAGGACTTCTTGGATGCTTCAGCAATTTGCAAACAGAAACCCAATTAGCCAGCAGCAATTTGGAGATGTTCTGTGTTGTGAGTGCCCATTTTGTGTATAAATAAGTCTTGCAAAATTAGTTCTCCTTTTGGGAATGAAATTACCAAACAAATATACTTTGAAAATAATAAGAGATTTTACATTTAAATATTTCATATTTGGATATATACATATGGTATGTGATCCATATCCAGATCAAAACATCTATGTTGGTTCCTTCTGGATCAGCTACTCTTCACCAAGAATAGGAATCCGTGGAGGAGTGAAGTGTCTGAGAACCCAGGAAAGTAAGTTAAGGCATCATTATATATCGGTTCTTCAAGAGTTCAGCTACACTGTGGAATTAATGCAGTTCGACACCACTTTAACTGCTATGGCTCACTGCTATGGGATAATGGAAGTTTAGTTTTACAAGGTCTTTCACCTTTCCTGCCAAAAAAGTGCTTCACCAAACGACAACTCCCAGGATTCCATAGTACTGAGCCATGGCAGTCAAAGTGGTGTCAAACAGCTATTCTATACACTATTCTATAGTGTAGATGCAGTCTTAGACTAAAGGATTGCCCTTCTGCTTCTCCATTCCTCTATAAACAGCACTAAATGATTTCCACATATGCAAAATTGCTTGCTTAGTATTTTAATATTATGATTGTCAATCAGTTTCCCTTATTCTCTTCTCCCATCTCTCTTCACTGATCAATTCTTTCACGTCATTAGGTAGAAGAAAAATTAGTTCACTGAGAAGGAACAAACATGAATTATTTTTGGTGTGAGCCTTCAAAATATTTCTGGGTCATGGAGATCCTAGAGCATGTGGAGTTTCCTGGCAAGATTTCTTCAGACAAGGTGTGCCTTTGCCTTTCTCTGAGGCTGAAAGTATGACTTGCCCAATGTTGCCTAATGGATTTCCATGGCGAAAAGGATTCACATCCTGGACTTCTCAGTCATAATCTAACATTCAAACCATTACACAACACTGGCTTTCTAAATATGAATTAGAAGGAGGGAGTTGTAACCAAGGGTCCATTTCTGGATTCTTTCTGCGAAGGTAGGGTGATGCTTGTCTTCTTCTCGCACCACTGATGCTCTTATTGTGTGTGTGTGTTTTAAAACACTATCAATGCTACAGAAAGACCGAGCAGTGCATTGATTCAAACATTGGACTATGACTCTGCAGAGCAGGGTTTGACTCACTGGGTGAACTTGGGCAAGTCATACTCTCTCCACCTTAGAAAGTCAAGAACACTCCATAGGGTCACTGTAAGTCAGAAACGACTTGAAGGCACAAAACAATCGAACTATTACAAATTATTAAACTGTAATATCTATGAATGTTCATTCTCACTATGTACAGACAAAGCATCCCTTATCTAGAATTCCAAAATCATCCACAGGAGTGACTGAGGTCCCTTCCACACACTTGTATAAAATCCACATTGAATTATGTCCTCAGCTTGAGCCCTGCGATTGAGGAGGTGAGGTGATGGTGGCACTGCGGGGTTCCAAGTGGTGGCGATGAGGAGGAAGAGGGAGGTAAAGAAGGCGAGGAGGGAAGAGAAAGGGGCGTCCCTACTTTGCGGAATTTCACATATTGCGAGTGGTCATGGAACGCAACACCCACGATAAGTGAGGGACCACTGTAAACAAGAATAACAAGGCAGATAAGTCACAATATCTGCTTTGAACTGAGGTCCCTTCCACACAGCCCTATATCCCAGAATATCAAGGCAGAAAATCCCACATTATCTGAGTGTGGACTCAGATAACCCAGTTCAAAGCAGGTATTTTGGGATTTTCTGGCTTGATATTCTGGGATATAGGGCTGTGTGGAAAGGCCCTAGGTTATCGGAGGCCTCTTCCACACAGCTGAATAAAATCCCACATGATCTGCTTTGAACTGGAACACATGGCAGTGTAGACTCAGATAACCCAGTTCAAAGCAGTTATTGTGGGATTTTCTGCCTTGATATTCGACTTCTTGTCAGGGTGTTGGACTGGATGGCCCACAAGGTCTCTTCCAATTCTATAGAATCATAGATTGGAAGAGACTTCATGGGCCATCTAGTTCAACCCCCTGCCAAGAAGCAGGAAAACTGCATTCAAAGCAACCCCGACAGATGGCCATCCAGCCTCTGTTTAAAAGCTTCCAAAGAAGAAAGGAGAGCCTCCATCACACTCCGGTACAGAGAGTTCCACTGCTGAACGGTTTTTCCTCATGTTCAGATGGAATCTCCTTTCTTGTAGTTTGAAGCTATCATGTCTCCTCTCAGCCTTCTCTTCTTCAGGCTAAACATGTCCAGCTCTTTAAGCCACTCCTCATAGGGCTTGTTCTCCAGACCCTTGATCATTTTAATTGCCCTCCTGTGGACACATTCCAACTTGTCAATCTCTCTTCAATTGTGGTTCCCAGAATTGAACACAATATTCCAGGTGTGGTCTAACCAAGGCAGAATAGAGGGGCAGCAGAAAACAAGCTTGCTCCCTCCTCCCTATGACTTCCTCTCACGTATTTATACATGGCCATCACGTCTCCTCTCAGCCTTCTCTTCTTCAGGATAAACATGCCCAGCTCTTTAAGCCACTCCTCATAGGGCTTGTTCTCCAGACCCTTGATCATTTTAATCGCCCTCTTCTGGACACATTCCAGCTTGTCAATATCTCTATGATTCTATTGCGATGTGGGAACGGCCCTGAGTCCACACTGCCATATAACCCAGTTCAAAGCAGGTAATGTGGAATCTTATTTAGCTGAGAGGAAGGGGCCTTAAAGGGAATGTTTCTTAGGGGAATGCTCAAGACCCAAATATCTTAAAAGGGGAAACTGGTGCAGCAAAAGGGCGACCACAACAAAAGAAGGTTTCCTCACTGCCAAGGAAAGGTATGGGTATGGTGAGCGCGAGGAGCCCTGACGTCACTTCCGCTCCCCCTTCCATTTGCCCGCAGTGCCTCCCGGGCTCTCTTCCTATTCGCTGGCCTGGGAAGAAGGAGAAGCATGTGAGCGGCTTTTTCCCCTACTGGGCGGGGATTGGGAAGGAGCCACAGTGCTTTCTGCGCATGCGGGAAAGCGAGCGCTCGAGCCTGCGCGCCAGTTGCCTCTCCGCTGCATTGGAAGCGGTTGCTGTTTTTCGCGCTCCCGGCTCGGACTGAAGGAAGGAGGGAGCCATGCCGCCTCCGGGCCAAGTCCGGCTCCCGGATTGGGACGCGCTGAAGCTCCGCGTGCGCTCCATGGTCACTTCCCACCGGGTTATGATCTTCAGCAAGACCTACTGCCCTTTCTGCCGGAAGGTGAGGAGGGGAGGGGGAAGGGGGGGGGAGGAGGAGGAGGAAGTAACCGTTTCCTTGGCAACGTCCCCTCAGGGGGGTGAGAGAGCGCAGAAGGCCTCCTGGTTCCACCTCACTTTCTCTTACCCTTGGCTTTTTCCTCGAAGGGTTTACCCTCCCTTTCTAGACCTCCCTCGGCTTAGTTCTCCCCCCCCCAAAAAAAACCCCCTCCCAAGATCTATATTGTAGAATTAATACAGTTTGACAACACTTTAACTGCCAATGGGCTCCTGGGAGATGTGATTCTACAAAATCTTTAGCCCTCTCTGTCAAGAGTGCTGGTACCTCTCCAAAGCACAACTCCCACAATCCTATAGCATAGAGACATGGCAGTAAAAGTAGTGTGAACGGCATTAGTTCCACAATGTAGATCACGTATGGGTCAACTTTGGCCCTCCAGGTGTTTTGGACTTCAACTCCCACAATTCCTAACAGCCTCAGGCTTAAGCGGCTGAGGGGAATCCACCAGTGATGGAATTGAACCAAACGTGGCACACAGGACTCCCATGACCAACAGACACACTAGAAGGGTTTAGTTGGCATTGACCTTGAGTTTGGGAGTTGTAGTTCACCTACATCCAGAGAACACTGTGGACTCAAACTATGATGGAACTGGACCAAACTTGGCACGAATACTCCATTTGCCCAAATATGAACACATATGGAGTTTGGGGAAAATAGACCTTGACATTTGGGAGTTGTAGTTACTTGGATTTATAGTTCACCTACAATCAATGAGCATTCTGAAGCCCATGAATGACAGAATTGGGGCAAACTTCCCACACAGAACCCCCATGACCAACAGAAAATACCCAGTCCAACTCCCTTCACCAGGACAAGAAAACGTAATCAAGGCCCTCCTGGCAAAGAGCCATCCAACCATAAATATAGATAGATAGATATGATTCACACACACACAGATATAGTGTCATAGATTTGAAAGGGACCCCTAAAGGAGGACAGTTATATGTTGCATGTTCCAAAGTAGGAAAATCAGACAATCTCTACATAAACACTGACAAAAAAAACCAACAAAAAATACTGTTTACCCACAAGCATAAAGAAATTACATATATTAGAAACCAAAACTTTCTAATTACTTTATTTTCCAGATCATCAGACTGGGCTACAGCAACGCATGGCAGGGGGTGGCTAGTTAGACATAAAATTGAAGTTTAAAAATTGTTATTAAAACTATCTGGGTAGGCCTGCTGGAAGAGACTTGTGTCTTAAATTCTGACAGCTGATTTAGCTGTTGGATCTCAACCAGCAAGTTGTTCCACAGCCTTGAGGTGCTGATGAAAAGGTCCTCTGGTGTCGGTTGCCAGTTGGGTTCTGGCAGACTGGAGCAGCCCTCCTCCTCCTCCCAGGACCTCAGTATTCAGGGTGGATTATACAGGAGAAGGCAATCCACACCCATGTGGATGATTTTGGAGGATGTTTGATTTCCTGATTGGGAATGCTCAACCTGTATTGATTGTTTCACCATCCAAAAAAGATAAACCAGGAAGCCCAAGTCTTTATCACACTACTACAGCAACCCCTGCTCCCTGTAATTTGAAGAAATTTAGTACTCACGTTGTTGAATTACTTAATAGTTAATGTCTTACATGTTTTGTTGGTCGTTAACTTTTCTTCATAGCAATTGTAGTAAGCAGCAGACTCTAATTCTGCTTGTCGTCAAGTTCTTTGTATGGAAATCAGTATTGACAGATGTTACTCTTAAGGCTTTCATTACTATTTAGGGTAGGATGTTATCTCAAAAGATGCTTCCAGAAGAAGTCTTTTCTGTCCTTTCACTTTATTTTCTTCATTAAAGTTTGTGGGAATTCCAGATGTTTTCCCCTCAAGTTGCAGTCTCCATTTATTTCTATGCATTTCTCTATCCATCTTTATAAGCAGAGAAAACATGTTAAGAAAAGAAATTACAGAATAGCTGAATAATACTTTAATATTATGTATAATAGTGTTTTTTTTCCTGGAAGTATCCTATGGAAAGTAAGAAAAGTAGTGAAATGTAGCTGAAACTGACATCTATAAATTATTATTGTATTTATTTATATCTTGCTTTTTCTTTCCATACTGACATTCAAAGTGGCTCACAATTGAAAAGCATTACAATACAACTTACAAATATACAAATATTAAAACAGGATTAAACATCATTAATATTTAAACAATTCAGTTGAAAAACACCCCTATAGAAAACCACAGCACCCCTGACTAAATTGTAAACACCTTAATCTTTAAAAGCCTTTAAATTCCTTTAAAATTAAACTGTTCTCTGGTTTTTATAAGACAGCTGGGACCTCTGGGACCATAAATCAAGAGTCTCAATTCAGTACGATTTTAGCTAGTCATGAGTATAAATTAGTTGTGCTAGGCATTTCATTGATCCGCTAGTCAGGGGCAACGTGTCTGTTTCTTTAGGAACCTTTTTAAATTTTTAAATTGTTTGTAGAAGGTAAAGTAATGGTACGGGGGAGATAAACATCAAGATTATGTGTAGTAAGTTTGTCTTTTCCTTGTTTCTTTTGCTGTGTCACTCAATGAACACCCACCTCCAGCTGTTAGAATAGAGGCTTCCTTGATGGAAATAGGGCAATTAAGGACTCCAGAAATTATGGTTCCAGAATGTCTCTTGATAGCACATCACATGCCTGTGGGTGCAACTAATATGCATGTTTTTAATTGAAGCAAATAGGCATGTGATTAAAATACATTGCATAAAAGTGTTGTGCCAAACAGCAAATCAGATAAGATGTTAGATTTCTTCTCTGATGCTGCTTGTATGCTTTCAGGTGTACTGCTGAAAATAGTTCTATTGTAATAAAAATTCAAGACTTAGGGGTTTTTTAACAGTCACAATGCTGCTGGTTTATTGCCACTGAGCTTTCAGGTGTGATTGCTTTTTGCACAAACATTGTTGCATAGAGAAAAAGATGAGAATAAAAAGAAGGAAGTTAGATATCTTGAGTAAGTGCTGATTTCTGCTCTTATACAACTCTTGCTCATAAGCTGCCCAACTCTGCAAAGACAGTCATGGCAGGCCCACACGAGGAAGTTTATGCTCACCCAAAATGAGTCATGGCAGAGATTGGGATTTCTAGAGGTTAAATGTCCAAGTTCTTGATTAGTTGACAGACTTGAATATGGGAAAGTATTAACTGGCATGTGTTGAAATCCCCTCATGTAACTACGTAAGAGAATGTGATAGTAGCTATTTAAAGAAGTAAAAGTGGGATTCATTTATGTAAGGTAAAAAGAAAGTATTTAATACTTATGGTGGTAATCTCTTGTTCCACAGACTAGTGTCAAATGATAGATTAAAGTCTCTTCCCTCCCCAATTCAAAGCTGAGGAGTAACAAACTTGATCTTGGTATCTCTTTCCTGCCCTTGTGTCCTTCCCTTTCTGTTGCTGGAGAGATTGAAGGCGGGCAGGTTGAGGCATGAGCATGGTAATGCAGGCTCTGCATAAGTACAGGATTATGGATTTTTGAATACCTGTACTTGTGTATGCATACATAATGAGATAGTTGGCAATGGGGCCAAAGTCTACACGTGACATTTGTTTATTTTGTACATATACACTTTATACATATAGACTGGAGATAGTTTTATATGTAATAATTTGTATGTAAAGCAGTTTGAATTACTATCTCAGCCACCCATTTGGACAATTTTGGATTTTAGAGTATTTATAATCTTGGAATTCCAAATAAAGGATTCATAACCTGTAGTATACAAAGTTCTTTCAGTCTCATATCATACACCTATCATTGGAGAGAGGGGGCTTAGACTAGTTCAAGAGATTAATGAGCCAATGCTTTTCAAGCTATCAGAAGTATGAGATAGCTTTTCAAGCTATCAGAAGCTATCAGAAGTATGAGTAGGGGCCACTACTATATTTATGTCCTTCCTTTCTTCCAGCACTTTCCATAGACACCCACTTTGTCATTTATGTAAATGCTTGTTTCCCACTTTTGCATGGGGAGCAAAGTAATGCTGCCCTTGCAAAAACAAAACAAAACTGAGGAGAAAGTGTTTGCTACCTTTTGCAGTGTTGCCTTTAGTACTAAGAATGCTAAAATTTCACACTAGGTTTGCTGTGGAAATTACCTGAAGGGGAAACGAGTTCAGGAGCAAAAGTAAAAAAGAATCCTTGGCCAGGGAAAAGGCTTTTGAAAATGAAGGAAAAGTATAGCTTGCCTCTTTTCTACCCACAGGGTCAAGCAGATGGTGTTAGACCCTGCTTCAGGTTTTCCCTGGGCAGTAATGTGAGTTTCCTTAAAACCCTGATGTGAGATTTGCTTCAGATGCCTGAAAGGATTAAGATAGAGTTTAGAACTTCTTTGTTTATTGGTAAGAAGCAGATGGTGATTTTACTTACTTTTCATATACTTGTGATGTAATGATGGGCAAGTCTTTTAAGAAATAAGTCCCACAGTTCAGTGATTTTTACTCCCAGGTAGATGCATGTAGATCGGTTTTTTAAAAAAGAAGAAGTTAAGAGTAAAATACGGTAAATGTACATTTCTACTTACCCATATATACTCGAGTATAAGCTGACCCAAATATAAGCCGAGGCACCTAATTTTATTACAAAAAACAGGGAAAACGTATTGACTCGAGTATAAGCCGAGGGTGGGAAATGCATCCACAATGGGTCAATTTCAAAATAAAAATAGATACCAACCAAATTACATTAATTGAGGCATCAATAAGCTAAATGTTTTGAATATTTCCATAAAACTGTAATTTAATATAAGACTGTCCAACAAACCATTATGCTAACCTCCTTCAATGTAAATGTACTTATTATTAAAATAATAAATATAATAAAAATAATAGACTGAAATAATGAAAATGCAATAAAAACAGTAATAATAGAGTAAAATAATAGATGTAATAATAGGGTAAAATACTGTAAATGTAATAATAATAATAGATTAAAATAATAAAT